CGCTGCCTGTGCGGCTTTCCTCCTGTCTCCCTGGTCTGCTGGGGGGGTCCAGCAAAGCCGCTGGACCCCCCCAGCAGACCAGGGGGACAGGAGCAAAGCCGCCCAGGTGGTGGGGGTTCCGCTGCCTGGGTGGCTTTGCTCCCGGGCAAACGAGCAAAGCCGCCCAGGCGGCGGCTTTGCTCGGGTGTCCCTGGTCTTCTGGGGGGGGTCCAGTGGCTTTGCTGGACCCCCCCAGCAGACCAGGGGGACCGGGAGAAGCTTTTCTCGCCCCAGAGGACACGGGTGGCGACCCGCCGCCCATGATCTCCGGGGCAAGAAAAGCCCTGTTCGTAAGTGCGGATCCGACATAAGTCGGATCCGCGTAAGTCGGGGACTGCCTGTATAAGGCTGGACAGGAAACCCTACTGAGATTTGAAGGAGTTTACAGCATCAACATGGAGCTTGCAAACTGTCTTGTTGATACTGGGCATCACTGAAAATAATGAGGCTCAAAAAGACCACTGAAGCATTAGCACAAAGCTTGTATGGGACTGGATAGTCAGGGTATCAATAATGATACATGGAATGTTGACCTATTTCTAGGACAGTGGTTCTCAAATTTTTTGGCCCATGGCCCACCTGGCTCAACACAAACCTTTCCATGGACCAGAAGTTGCTAATGGAAACTCTCTGTTAATTACATAACTACACCTGAGCCATTTTGCTAGTGCAGCAGTTAGGGAGAACAGTTTAATTTAACCAATAAGAAAGGAAATATTAAACAGATTAATTGCTTTAATTGGGAGAGCTCTCTCGCGGTAGCCTAGAGTGGGTACATGAGTGATCTTATAGCAGGTCAGCTCCATTGGTATAGCTGTGTCGCTGTAAGCTCGCTAATGTAGACATAGCTTCAGGGTATGTCTACACTGAGTTTTAAATCCTGGGCAATAAATCTGAGGTTCAGGATGGAGTCTGGGCACAGAAGCCTCGGGAGGCTGCAGAGTCTAAACTGTTCTTGCTATAGCATGAACTTGGGACTGTACACCTGTGGCCAGGAGCCTCAGAGCCTGGATTTTTAAAAACACAAGCATATACATGCCCTTATACTGCCACTGGCTGCCCTGTGTCTATTAAAGAGAGGTGCTTAATCTGCAAAGCTGTCAGTCTAGCACCTTTCACAAACACCACATTCACACCAAAGTTTTTAAAGGATGAGAGAATTTGTAACATGGTGCTGCCACATATTAATGCATTTCTTAAGAAAACGTACGTTACACATTAAAAGTGTAGCCCTGCTGCTGCCCTACTTTAAAATCCATTCCCTTTGCCAAAGAACGGCATGAGTTGGGCCTATCCTGTCTTTGGGGTGAGGGTTTGTCAGGGCAGATGACAAGACTGATCATGTATTCTAATTCAGATATGGTCTGAGCAGAAGAAAACATTCAAGGAGTTTTTACTAGATTTTCTAATATTGCGTTACATGTTTGTGTGTGAGGTGTACACCTGCTTACAATGGGATATGCATCTCACATTGGTCCTCTAAAAGCTGAATTAGGCCAAGTGGGCCCAATCAGCCAATTAGGCTACAGAGGACTTTTTGAGCTGGAAGAGGGGAAAGGGAACAGAGGGGGCTACTGGGAAAATCTGCAGTCACTCCCTGGAAAGAGGGAGGAGTGTGTGAAGGCAGCAGAGATGTGCAGTCTGTAGTTGCTCACGGGGAGGAGGGAGTGGTGAGACTGACAGACCCAGAGAAGGAAGGGAGAGTCAAAGGTTAGGACAGAGCTCAGAGAAATGCAGCAAGTTATAGGGTGGAACAGACCTTGACTGCTGACCAGAGGGTCCCTGAGCCACAACATGGGACACAGAATGGATCCATGTTCCCCAACCAGCCACATGGGAAGTGCATGGGAAGACTACCTGAGCCTGTTCAGAAGAAGAGACATCTTCCTTTCTCCTCTCTTCCTCCTCCCCCACTGGAAGGAGAAATCACAACAGTGATGGAGAAGCAAGGGTGAGTCACAAAGAGTGAGAGATCGGCTGCAGACAGACAGAGGGGGAGGGATGGCTTGCTGGGGAGAGGTGCTGACCTGGTGAACTATCTCCCACAATGGCTATGAGAAGGTGCCAGACATGGGATAAGTAGAGCACCCTCTCAGATTGCCACATCTGAAAAGGAATTAACTGAAGCCTGAGAGCTCGGCTAGTACCTCCTGAGAACACCTGCGAAAGAGAGGTCAGTTTGGAGGAGGTGGCCCAGGAAAGAAGTCTAACATGTGTAAGGGGACTGTTACCCCTTACTAAAACTCTGTGGGAGTTTTTTGGTTTACCAGCTTCAGAAGGGGAAGGGTTCATGAGACTGACAGACCCCAGAGACAATGGAAAGCAGTCAACACTCAGCTCAGCCTGACTGACAGGTTGTAAGTGGGGATTGTTCTGGCTCTGGCTCTGAACAAACAAGCTGTGGGCAGAAGAGGTCCTGCAAAGACAGAGAGCTGAAAGAGGAGGACAAGAAGAAGCCCTGCAGCGACAGAACCAGACACAGACAGGCCAAGCAGTGCAGACCCTGTGTTGAGCAGCAGACTGGCAGGGCTCAGAAAGCCAAAAGGAACAGAGAAACAACACAAGGAGCTGGAGCTGGCCAAGCAGCACAGCCTGCAGCTGGATGTGGTGAGCTACTGGGACCTGCAAAGTGTGGGGAAAGGCTCTGGACTGGGAGAGGGGTCTGGCCACTTAGAGACTGAGGCTGTGTGGTCACTGCCAGTGCAAGCGTGTCCAGCCTGCAGCCCCTTGCAGCACATCCAGGGCTTCTAAGGAAGAGACTGTGAACTGTCCTTACACTCTGCAGACTGCTGTGTTGATGTCCCTGTGCTACAGAGCAGGGCTGTGTGTTCCCATTTAACCATTCTCATTGTTTCTTATTCTATTCTCTTTAATCAGTTGATGTTTAATAAATTGTATTTGCTTTGAACCTTATGAAGTGGTCACTGGGCCAAGAAGGCCTGCAGTGTAAAGAGAGCACCTCGGAGTGGGGACACCCTAACTCCTGCCCCTAGTGACTACAAGGTCAGGGATTAAGCCCCAGGAAACCTGGGCCCAGCCTTGTTGGGGTTTCAAGGGCTCTGCTACTCAGGAGAGTGGAGGGGGAGCCCTCAGGATCAGGGAGCCGTGGGGTAAAGGAAGTGGGAGCGGGGACTCAGATCCTTTCGCTGGTTCATTTCACCGGGGTGTATAGAAGCCAGGAAAGTTCCCCACAAGAGCGGGACCATTCCCCCGCTTACACATGCTCTCTGAATGAGAAAGGATTAGCAAAAAGGAGCAAGAGAAGTAAACCTGGGAATGTGCGAGGGAAGATTAGCTCTGCTGGTCAGTATTCTGAGACCAGGATGAAGGATTGCAAGAACCAGAAAAAGACTGAAATCACAAGCCACGTAAGGGTGGGAGTGGTTTAATGGTATTCTTTTTGTTTGTCACTGCTTGGCAGAGAGACCCCAGGAGGAGCAGAAGACATATGAGTTGACTATATATGATGTACCTGTCATAGTGGTCATGATTTGGGATTTGAAGGATAGAGGTGACCATGGAAGGAGTGCAACACAAGGAGAACTTGGCCAGGTTCCCAACATGAGGAATCATCTGAAAAGACCATACCTGGAGGGGGCGTGAGGGGGGGCACTCCAGGATAGGGCCTGTTACACAACACTACAGATCTGACCTCCTGCTAACAGGGCACTTCGGAGAAAGAAGTACAGACATACATTTTCCTTACAGACATAGTGGTATGGCCACATACAATTTTATACAACTATATAGTTCCTTACAGCTGTGAAACACAATCCAGGATGACAGTATATGTGACACAGGAAGGAACAGATGAATGGAGTAATCCACTACCAGTCCCATGGTGTCCAAGGCAGAATCAATAGGAGAAAAATCTTAAATCAAGTGACACATTCTATTTTTTCACTTTAGTTTTTCTCAGGGCACTGACAAGGCTGGATTGAGAAAAGGAGATTACTACAAAATCGGATATTATGCAATTGAAGCCTACAAATCAAGCAAACATTAGTTTCTGTGACTAAACAGAGGGCAGGTTGAGGGATGTTATCAATGTGAACATGTAATTTATTTAATAATGTGACAATGGACAAATCAAGTATAAAACACATGAAATACAGATGGAAAGAGAATATACTTTCTGTGTCGTAAGACAAAATCACAGTAGCTTAAAAATAACCTTCTCCCCTCCCCCCAAAAAGATGAGTGTGGAAAGAACAATTAAAGGATAATGTTTTTGTGACTTGCATGTTTGAAGAGCAAATAAATTGGATGTTTTTATTCAGTGCTCGAGATTCTCTCCTGAGTTGTGAACCATTGGGTCTGTTTGTAACAGCTTTACTATAATAATAATAAAATTCATTCTATTTGTCCCCAATATTACCCCCAGCAGGCAATATGAAATAAGGTGTTAAAAAGTGACTGGTAATAGTCACCTGTTTGTGCATGTTCATCATTTGGAGGTTCTGCGACAGAGTCTATCTGAAGAGACTGCATCCTTTTCACAAGTTCAGATGGCCCAGGGTACACTTTCTGTACATAGGAAAAAAATCAAGCAGCAGGTGAAAGCTTAAGCAAAGGAAGCATCTTTACTGCACTGTAGAAACAAAATGCATTCTCACAACGAGTGGCCCAAGTGAACAGCTTGCACAGCTATCATGTTCTTTGTTGGGGGAATACTTATGCCATCACTTTGCAGGGATTGTTTACCAAGGAGGTTAAGTTTATAAACAAGCAATATCTGCTTTCCAGGAAGGCAGGAATTATTACTATATAAATATCAGGCATGATTCTCTGATCTGGCCCAATTGCACCCTTACTCACACTGGCTACTGCCTTAGGCTGTGTCCAGACTCAGGGGTTCTTTCGAAAAAAGTAGCCTTTTTTCGAAAGAACTTCCCCTGCGTCCAGACTCAAGCCGCGTTCTTTCGAAATTATTTCGAAAGAACGCGGCTTTTCTTTCGATGGCGGTAAACCTCGTTTCATGAGGAAGAACGCCTTCTTTCGAAAGTTCCTCTTTCGAAAGAAGGCGTTCTTGAATGTAAATAGGGCTTCCTCGAAAGAGAGCATCCAGACTCGCTGGGTGCTCTCTTTCGAAAAAGCGGATTGCTCTTTCGAAAGATCCACCTGCAGTCTAGACGCGATCTTTCGAAAGAGGCTCTTTCGAAAGATGCTTTCGAAAGAGCCTCTTTCGAAAGAAGCCTGCAGTCTAGACATAGCCTTAATGTATGAGTAATCCCACTAGACTAGACGGTGTGACTCACTGCACTGGTTCCAACTCTCAGCTTTACTTCCAGTTTTATCACACTGCAATCAGTAGGACTGTTTGCAGAGTAAGGTGCTGTTTAAGGTAAAGGTAGCAAAATCATGCCCTATTTTATGTGCTTACATGTGGAGCTTAACTGGAAAAAAACATCCATAGCTATGGCCTTGTTTGGACAACAGTTTATGTGTGGGATATCACGACAGGGAGTTTGGTGCAGCACCTCGGAAGGAATGTTTCATAGCGTTTCACTGCACTTTCATCTTTTCAAACCCTTGTCTTCATTTTGCAGGGCCCCAGGAATAATCATTTTTACCCTGGCACTTCGATGTTCTGGTCATTGATGCCTTTTTAATGTCCTTGCTAAAGTAAAACTTGAAGTCAAGTGCAGTTTTACCAGATTATGGACTTGACCTCTTGCTCTTATTTGCACTCAGGAAGTCATTAGTTACTTTCTTACCAGGAAGTCTTTCACAATCTAAAAACCAACAACAACCTCTTCCTGTAAATGCATCTTGATCTCAAATAGTCAAAGTTAAAAACTTCATTTCAGACTTCTCTTTGATGTAATTGTGTATTATCTTGCTCCAGGAAAAGGCTCATTGGTAAGGAATGCAGCATATTCCACTCTTGTCTGATTTCAAAGGGAATATTTGCAGAGAGTGGTGCTACTCTAAAATCAAACAGTAAAAGGCTACAACACAAGTAACAAAGCTGTACCAATACATAACCATATTAATCTGCTTGCATGTCATATCCTTACTTCCTGTTTCTGTCTTTAGACCCTAAACCCTTCAGCGCAGGGATTGTCTCTTGTGTGTTTGTGCAGAACCCAGCACAGTCCTGACTGAGAGCACCTAAAAGCCCCATAATATAATTATAAAGCATTTACTACTCAGAATTAGTATGGGTGGTAGAATCATTTCCAGTAGAATACTTATTGTGTGTTTTGTCCACTTTATTTTGCAACGCTCTACTGTCTTGTCAAAGGGTACTGGACACATCTTCAAAGTCACTGTATGGATTTTCCAAAGCAGAAAATTTTAAATTATTCACCTTGTAATTTCAGGGTCAGGGAAAGTACTTCATAAAACATGGCTGTGTAGCAGAACAGCAGCAATATAGGGACACTTTCACATATTAATTTTAAATATCAGGGGATCCAGTCCCTGTTGCCTCTATATAATTTATACTTTCATTTTGCTGTTCACCCACACCATCAGGCCCCTGATGTCAGTAGTACTACGCCAATGAGTAAATGCTTTCCAGTTTGTAACTAAGGGTTCCATAATCTGGCCCAAAGCATGTGTCAGAAACTAAACTGGCTTTCATCATTATTTCAATTCAGGAAAGCCATCCTTCTGCACAACAGTTTGCAAGCTACATCCAGAGAGAGGAACAGGGAATCAAGTTATAGCTGAGGGAGGACTCAAAACTTTGCATTTCCTATTTTTTTTAAGATTACAGTAGTGCTTACAGATCTCAGCCAGGTTCAGTCCTGTCTGTGCTAGGTACTATATAAACATATAGTAACTTGTAAGTATTTAAAAAATTCAGCAGTAGCACCTCAAAGTATGGACTCAATTCAACTTGAGTCCCACAACTTGAACTTGAGTCTGACTTAAGTTGCATAGGTGACTCGACTTGAGACTCGACTCGGGTTAATTGTTTGTGACTTGAGACTCGACTTGAGACTTGCTCATTTTGTTAAATCGACTTGGTGAAAAAATTGTCTGAAAATGCCGATATCGATATTGATGGCTTGTACAAAAGTGACTTGACATTTTTTAAATTAAGACTTGAGACTTGAATAGAAAGTAACTTTAGGGACTCGAGACTTGACTTGAGACTTGAACTGTAGTGACTTGAGACTCGACTTGGACTTGACAATGACAACTTGAAGACAACACTGCAATTCTGTCACCTTAACTCATGTTGAATAGCTGGCTCAACAGTCTCTTTTGATTTTAATGTCAATGGAGTAACACTAGTATAAAATTAATGAAAATGTGATTTCAGATTAACTGGCAATCAGAATCTAGTTTACAGGGCTTTTATACAGTTAACATGGGCTGGACTCTACCCCCATATTCACACTGAGTAGAACTTTACTCCACGAGCAGACCTATTGGAATCACTGGGAGTACTTGTTGAATAAAGTATTACTCAGTGTGAGTAAGGGTGTTAGAATCTGGCCCCGGGCATATGCATTTGTTGTTGTTTTAAACTTACAAGTTATGCTAGGAAGCACATGGAATGCTACTTACTTTTATCTTTCTCACATCATCTTCAACAATTTTTTCCATTTGCTCATGGTAAAATGGCTTGTATGTCTGACTAATTTCTGCAAGAAAGCAAGATTTGGGGAAAGTAGTTTTAAAAGGCAAATATAAATGACTGTGCTGCTTAATTTGCTTCCACCAAAACATTAAGCAGTTAATTACATACGTTTATAAACAGGTGTGGGCTCATAAAAATGTAAGCAATATTAGCAGGGCTGGCTTAGTCTTAAAAGAACATAATAAGAACTGAATGTTTGTTCTCTTTAAAGCAGTGTTTCTCAAAATGGTCCATAGACCCACACTGAGAAAGCACCTAGTAGGCCACTCTGGTTTGTTTACTTACCGGCTTTGCAGCCACAAAGCCTTATGGCTCCTATTGGCTTTGGTTCACCATTTGCAGCCAAGGGGAGCCACCGGAAGCTGCAGCCCAGGTAATGCTACTTTCTGCAGCTCCCCGTCGCTACAAATGGCAAACTGCAGCTTATGGAAGCCACGAGGCACCGTGGCTGTGGAACCAGTAAATAAACAAACCAGATTGGCCCAGTAGCAGCTTTCTCAGGGTGGGTCCACAGACCCACTATTTAATTATACCTACCAGCTCAACTGTAAAGCCTGCACAGGCTATGACTTCAATAAGACAGAAGTCAACAAAGACAGCGAGTGATAGCCAGGTCCTCTAACACCATTAGGCTTTGCTTCCGATGTTGTACTCTATAGTGTCTTAGCAAGACAATGCTACAATTCTGTCTAGCTTCTAGAACCACAGAGCTCTGGATACCAGGTGGCTCCCAGGACACATACCCTTTCCACATAATCAGCTGTATGATGGACCCCTATTCTTTCGGATATCCCCTCTATGATGCATGGATGAGAGCAGGTTTCTGTGCCCTTCCAAGCACAAGGACTGCAGTTTGGGACTGGCTCTTTTTCAGGGCATGCAAAAAGAGGGAGAAGCGTTTCCCCTCATTCATCCCCCTTATCTCACCTGGGCCACAGGCAGACAAAATTTGCAAAGCACCTCATGTACAAACCATATCCCAAATGGAGTGCCTTGCTCCATGAACGGTCCTATTGACTGAGTCTCCTCATAACAGCTGTATAATAATACCTATCTGCTCTATGAAGTGTTTTATCATTGCCCCCATTTTACTGATGGGGAGAAATTGAAGCACAGTACTTGTACAGACCTGGGCTGTGTCTACATTGGCACCCCTTTCCGGAAAAGGGATGCTAATGAGACTCTTCGGAATTGCAAATGCTGCGGGGAATTTAAATATCCCCCGCGGCATTTGCATGAATATGGCTGCTGCTTTTTTCCAGCTCGGGGTTTTGCTGGAGAAAAGCGCCAGTCTAGATGGGATCTTGCGGAAAATAAGACCTACTTTCAAGTAGGAATAAGGGATCTTCTGGAAAAGGGCTTATTTTCCGCAAGATCCCGTCTAGACTGGCGCTTTTCTCCGGCAAAACCCCAAGCCGGAAAAAAGCGGCAGCCATGTTCATGCAAATGCCGCGGGGGATATTTAAATCCCCCACGGCATTTGCAATTCCGAAGTGTCTCATTAGCATCCCTTTTCCGGAAAGGGGTGCCAATGTAGACACAGCCCTGGTATATTAGCAGTAGAATATGCAGGTTGGAGAATGGGATATCAAGTATGCCCCTAACAGGGTACTTAAGAGCTAAATAAATAAATTCAGGGGTGCATGTTTGTGCAATGAACTTTTAAGCTTGCGCACACTGCAAATCAAACAGTTGCCTGAAGTATCAGTACTGCTGCCTAGGACTAATACTTTTAGATGCAGTAGCTTTTATGTTTTAGTCACCAGCGTACTGAGGATAAGGAAGAAAGGGCCAAGAAGAAAGAGCAGAAGCTGACAGTACAGCTACATGGCTGGGAGGAGCTGCTGGCGTTGTGTGGCAGCACCACATTCCTTTCCTTTCCTGGGAGTCGAGCCCTGAGGTTCAGTGGATACCAATATCTATGCATGGAAATGTGCATCCGCGGGTAGAAATTTGTATCCATACAGGGTTCTTGCTAGAAGCTTCATTCAAAACCCATTCAAGTCAATGGAAAAACCTCTCTATTGACTGACGCTACTAAAGGAGAATTAGGTAGCTAGCTCCAGGTTATGTCTACACTACAGGGCTTTATCAATAAAAAGGTATACAAATAGCATTCTGCAATTTGCATACCTTTTTCTGATAGTTTTTTTGGAAGAGGCTTTTCTGAAAGTTGGCCCTTCTACACTGGGCCAAATTTCGGTAAAGCCTCCTCTTTCGTTCTTTCTCGTGGGAGGAGGAAGACAGGGTTTCTGAAATAGTGTGTCTGCTCTTCCACAAAAAAAAGTGGAAGAGCAGAGACGTTCCTTGGACCTGGCAGAGTTTTTCCGGGATACTGGTATCTTCTAATATCAAGCTTTTTGTGACTATAAACAGGAGTCACCCTATGGTGCAAACAGGGTGACGGCACCTCAGTTGAGGTAGGTCAACAAAGCTCCACTGAAGTCAATGAAGATGTGTCAATGTATTTCTACAGAGGATGTGATGTTGCCTGAAGTTTATTCTGAATTCAGGTCATGGACATAACTTCTGTGTATGATTTATTTTCAAAATAAAAATTAGTTAAGACACAAAAACCTGTTACAAACAAAAATTATTATTTTTCTCAAAGGAAGAATCAAGTTCATTTTGCCATATTTTATCAACACTGGCTACGTCCAAATAAAAGTAATTCTGAAGCAATGTTTTACCTGCAAAAGTTGGCCGATTCTTTGGCTCTTGCTGCCAACACTGCTGCATTAGGTCGATAATTTCCTTTGGACATGTGTTTTTAATTTCTTCTGTATTCGGCCTGTCCCCATTCATGATGCCAAAACAAATGTGTGTTTCATTTATAGCATCTGAAAAACAAAATCTCAGATCAGAAGCCTAATCACAAGGTTTTGCTACCATAAAAGGATCAACTCATAGGAAAATGGAGAATGGGAGATGGTTTCTTTGTGTCCGTAAAAACAGAAAATGCCCCCAGATACACAAATCTGCTGACACATGAAAATGCTTACTCTATGGCTCTGACATTGAAACTTTTACTCATGTGGAGTATTATTTACAACGAGTTCACTAGGGCTTACTTAGATGAGTGATTCCTATGCAATATGAGTTAGGGATGCACAATTGAATCCTCCAGGGCTTGATTCTCAGTTGTTTTGTTCTGGTGTTTGGAGGAAAAACAGAGATGTGTGGCTCCAAAGGCAGCTTACGCCATTTTACTGTTCCTGTATTCTGGGACTGTTCAGGGGTCTAGTCAGCCACCAATAAAAGCTGGAGCAGCTCTTAGTCTGCTCCAACATCTCTCTGGCTTCCCATGGCGTTCTGTGCTAAGGATGGGAGCAAGTCTGGCAAGGATCCCTTAAGCCAGCTCTCCAGAAGTCCAGGAGGTCCACTGCACTGGACGGATTCTCCTGGAGGTTTCTCTGGCCCCAACTGGAAGAACTTAGCATAACTGAGAAGTAGGTGTTCAGTGAGCAAACACAAGACTGTTGGACATAACACTCTAACGATATGCTTACACTATACAGACGATACCTGCTATAGCTAACCAGATATAACTGTGTAGCGTAAGTGCAACCTACCTTCACAGAAGTTTTTTCTGACCAAGAGTAGCTACATCAATTAAAGAATTCTTCTATCAACATAGCTGTGTTTACACTGGGAGTTAAGCTGGCATATGTCAATCAGGGGCTTAGAATTTTCACATAGCAATGTGATCTAACTTGTAAGAGCAGAGCAGGTCTAAGTGAAAATGTTGTAGGTAAAACTTGCGTCTTCCTTTTGTAAATATGGCCCAGTCAGTATTTAGTATCTGGTACAGGTTTCAGCACAAACAGGTTTGTAACAGGCAGTTAATGCAGTGTGTCATACAGTATAGTCAAGTTGAGTGTAGTATCAATATGGCAAAATGAGGTTATCACCCCCCTCCCCGCAGATAAAATGTGATTGATGCAACAGAAATATGTAGAAGGAGAGGAGTGAGAAAGACAGTAATAAAAAGATAATGAACAAAATGTAAACAAAGGTGGCATTGGTGTGGGGAAGAGAGCTATACAGAATAGGGATGTAATCGTGTAATCAATTAACTGATTAACCAATAAGCAAAAGCTTATAGGTTAATGCTATAGACTACATGCAGTTTTCTCTCCTCCCGCCACCAGTACATTTTTTAGCAGGCTGACCAGCAACCCAGCTCAGTCCTAGCTTTTGTCAGGATAGGGACCTACCCCTGCTGTGGCTCTGCATTTAAAGTGTATTAGGAGCCAGGAAGCTCGGCTCCATTCTGGCTCGCACCAGGCCTTGGAGCTCAGATCCGACCCAGACAGGGACTGCTGCCACCTCGTACTGCTGCCTCTTTATCAGAGGCCACAGCACAGAGTGATAGGCAGCCGGTCTGCAAGGTCTGGCTCCCCTCACAGACTAGCTCCCACCTGGCACCTCATCCTGCTGCCTCTGATACAAAAGTAGTAGTGCGGAATGGCAATAGGCTCTTTGGGAGTGGGCCGGAGCGCACTGACTGCCAGACCCACTCTGGGGACTATAGGATAGTCAAGTAACCAATAAGAATTCATGAGGTTAATTGACAATTCAATTAACCGATATTTAACATTCCTAATACTGAATTAATAATAGTATTAATACTGAATTAGGAATTAATAGTTTAGTAGAATCTGTGACACATGGGGATCTAGCAGAAACCAGTCATTTTACTAGCAAGCGTTCCCATTTTATATATTCATGCAGATTCTAGGCTTTTACTAATCAAGCAAGGCCTCAGTGAAAGGGAACACAAGAGTTTAAAATGGACATGGTTCTTCAAATTTGAAATCAGTCTGGATTTCAGAATGACAGAGCATCATCACTAATGCCTGGGGATGAGGTATTTCAGAAATGAACACCAGCTTTATCATTCAGAGAAATGTGTGACCAGTTACGAGAAGGCGGTCTAACGAGAGGTACTGCTTTCAGCTCTCACCAAACCTCCAAGTAATAGGAGCTTAGTGGTTACTTGTCAACATCATGTAGAACCACCACACAGTATGGTAGATTTGTCAGTTTCTGCTCAGATGAGATCCAGATTTGCTATAGCAGGAATAATGTAGTTCAGGTATGAGTGTCACTGGATAAATAGGTGAGGAAGCTGATGGCCAATCCTAACCTACTTCAAAGCAATGCTCTGAATTTCCAATATTCACTAACATTCACAGAAAATTCTCAAAGGAAATACAGTATGGAAAAGTAAAAGGTGCTATATTATAATGGAACTGATCTTAGGTGTTTTATGGATGTTACAAATTCTACTACTGGTCCTCACAGTGACTCCTTCCATGAACTTGGGCAAGTCACTTAACCTATCTGCCTCCATTTCCCCTCTGTAAAACGAGGGTAACGACAATGTAGGTGCACTGTGAGGATTATTTAGGCCTTGCCTACACTTGGAAATAATCCTCATTTAGCACTCAGTGGCCAACAATTGTGTAGTTGCATCAATGGTAAACCTTTAAATATAGACAAAAGCAAGCCATTGTTTGCACTGACAGAGCTAATCTGGGTTATCACTACTTCAAGTAGGAATAAACTTCAATTAGTTCCATCAATTCAATCTACATACCCTTGTCCACCAGTGAAAGGGCAGTACTGGTGCAGTTGGACTAAGTACTGGTCACTGATTCCTGAATACACACTATTAGAAGTGAAGGGAAGGACTTATTTAACACTTATAGGGTGTTTTGCAAATGTTATGTCAGGGGTGGGGAACCTTTTCTGGGTCGGGGCCACTGGCTCACATAAAAATCAGCTGAGGACCACACAAAAAAAATCCCTAATTGACATGGTGACCAACTGAGAAACAGAAAGACACTCCCCACATTCCCCTTGCACACCAGAGCCTAGGGGACCCGGGCTATGAGATTTTGTGTGCACCAGCATCGCAGTGGGGGGAAGGAGGTCGGAGCACCAGCACAGGCTCCCCAAAGCAGGGGAGGAGGGGCTGAACCTCAGCGGCTGGATCCAGGCAAGCTGGGGGTCACATCTGGCCCCCAGGCCTGAGGTTCCCCACCCATGTTATATGATAATATTAGAAATCTAAATTGTATAGCTTCCTCAAAGCAAACTCATTTAGCAATACAGGCGTATTCCAAGTGACATACTTTCATATGGCTCTTTGTTGGCAAAAATTGCCCAGAGAACTATGCCAAAACTGTAAACATCTGACTTCTCCACGGGTTTTGTGTTAACGGAGAGTAAGTGCTCCGGGGCCATATAGAAAAGAGTGCCAGCAGTGCCCCTGGATGTGCTCTTGGAAGCGCTTTTGATTTTCCTCTGCCGACTGGTCTCTTCTTTGGTCAGTCTACTCCAGCTTTTAAAGCAGGCAACTCCCAGATCTGCAATCTGCAAAACAAATCCAATCAGAGCTACTGAAAATGGAGAATGTATCTAATAAATTGTTTCACATATTATTCAAAGTTTGTAAAATACTGTATCATGGAATGCTTATGGAAATGACTTATCTGAAAATTCAAACTCTTCAATAAGTGTAACCAAAGAGAACAAATGAAATCATATTTTGAAAATCTATGTGAATTTGATGCCCGAATCAAGCACTGTTGCCAACTCAAGACACATTAAGCCCCACCCCCTATGAACATGTGGAGACATTATTATAATACAACTTTGTTAAAACACAACTTGGCTTTGCTTAGGTGGATGAGACCAAACGGGGTTATAATCACAAGAGAACTGAAGTTCAGCGTGAAATTCAATCCAGTGTGGGAGATCAACATAAGATCCTCTTCCTCAGAGAAAATGTTAGCCTCTTTAAAACCAGGGTTCAAATTCAGAAGCACGATGTAAGATTATGTAACATGGATCCCCTCTTTATATGCACATTCTTTTGCACTAGCTGGGACTCCCTTACACTTTCACATGTAAGGGAGAATAAGGGTATCTAAGCAAGTGTGACAGCTGCTGAGGAGCCACAAGAAAGCATAAAATTGAATGCGTTCAAGTAGGGATACTCAAGCACCACTGTCATGGTAAGTTCCAGAACAAAACCCTTCGACAAAGATGGGGTAGCCTACTTCAGTTTATGCCTTCTTACTTCCCCCCATTAGCTGCTTTTCTTGTAGCACTTCTCTTTTCTGGGCCCTAACCAATTTAGCGTCCCCTTGCAGGCATGCTGGCTTCTCCCATCGTGATTAGACTCTGAAAAATGGTGGTGATTCTGGCTTTAGGGCACACATCCCTCAGTTCAGAAGGGGTGAATCTCCAGGGATTCAGTTTTAGGGCTCAGTCTTTCACAACCAGACGTGTGCTATCAGCTGCCTGGATATCAAAGCCCAAAGGTTGGGGTAAGATTTGAGAGCTACCACAGAAAGCTACCTAAGAGAGCAGGTGCAGCCCGGAGAAGCCTCTTTTGAGGAGAACTGGGAGCCAGTGCATCTCTGGAGCAGCCAGTGCACGAAAGGCTAAGGGAGCTGGAGCTGATTCGTATTCAGTGACACGCAGAGCCCTGGGGATCAAGTCAGAGACTGGAGCCAGCTGGGAAAGCACCTCCTACAGGCATCCTCCCGCTCCTTGCTTGGCTCCTTTTCCTCGACAACTCTGCCCCGGCTCTTCACACTAGATCCACTGATATCTTGACTAGGTCAGTTTTAACCAGGACAGTGATTTGAAAGGACATCTGCACTCTCCTTGGAGATCTACTTAGAGACTTGCTCAGGCTCCCCCCCTCCCCTCTCCGCTCCTCCTTCATATACATACAGAATTTATTATAAACTTTTCTTCTGGTTCTTTACGTGACACTGCCCATCTGTTATCAATGTACAATGCTAGGAAAGCTTATTTGGACATCGGTGAAACCAAATAATCTTTCTTTGAGTACAAGGTCATGCTGGGTAGCCTTTGACAAGAGTTTAAAGACTAGAGAAAATTGTTTAAAATGTGCTATCAGTAGCTTCAAAGTGGAACAGTGGATTTTATCTCACTTTTGTACATAATCAGTGCAGCAGCTCTGAAGCTGGAGCTGTGGCTAATAGCATTGACATAGTTTTTCTCCCTGTAAATTAGCATAACGCTGCATCCCCACCCACCGTATCCTCTTCCAGGTATGTGGCCTATGAACCTTGCTAATGGCTCCCAACATTTCTAACCCAGATAAGATTAGCATAGGCCTAGAAGAGAAATTAACTAACTCCATCCCAATTACAAGGGGGTTTCAACAAGGCTGTCCTTCAGTCCCTTTTAGCATTAAAAGAGCATCAGTATCCCCTCCCCCAAATTATGAATCACTTTGTCTTATTCTATGTAGACAACAAGGTTCTGTCTCTAATACCATTGTGTTTGAAGCATTTATTAAACTCATTTGGTTTATATTGTCAATGAGAAAGCATCTTTGATAGATTATTCACAAACAGAAATATGGCGATGGAATGATCCCCACTACTTCTAAGTCTGAAAGGGATTCAGAACAAATTTATTAGGACGACGCTTGGTCTCCCAAATAATACCCCAGCTGTTCATAGTGATGAGACAGGTCTGAACTCTATTCTGTCCAAAGTGCAATACAGAGATATTAACTGTTGGCTTTGTATTCATAGCATGGGCTCACAGCACTTGTCAAGGTCAGACTTAGCAGACTAGCTCAGTAGGACTTTTTCACGTCAATTTGTATTCTGAAGGTTTAAGTTCAAAAATGTGAAATCCATAATCTGGTCAAGAATAAAAGATAGCAATAAGCAAATATATATGGCAGAGATTTCTATTTCAAATATGTCTCCTTGGTTCCTCCTTGTTAAAAAGACTCCTGGGTATACCAGATATTTAGACAGTTTGTGTAATAACTTGCTAAAGAGGGCCAGTAGGGTTCTCCATTTTTAATCAATGAATACATCTTACTTAGAAAGCTGTAACCATATCTGTCCATGAGATTTAGGGAATCATTTATTAAATTGTAATCTGTGTTGCCACGTGAGGTCAAAATGGCTTTCTGCATTTTTTGTCCTGGATGCCTTTTTTATGCCTTCTCAGAAAACAGAATATATGTTAGGAACTGACCACATACTGTGATCCGAGCAGTTGCTCTATTTGCACGAGCAGCTACTAAAATAAGGAAAAGGCAAGTGACATGATGGTCATATATGGTTTAATGGTGAATGTACTTTTTAATTTTAATTTATAAGTATTTTAACGTCTTACAATTTTAGATTGTTTTAAGTTTCATTGTAATACCTTTGGGTTTTCTTAGCCCTAAGGGAATAAATTCATCAGAGATACGTCACTATTAAAAACCTTCGTGTTCCTTAGGCCAAATTCAGAAGTATAATGTATATGTATAACATATATGGGTGAATATAAAGGTACATGTTGTAGAAGACTTATACCCAGCAGTGAAAGAAACTTAAAATTTCTTACAGGGACTGTCCTATTGCAACCCAGGTTCCTGCCAGCTCTTTAAATAGTTCTCTGCTGGCTTTTGCTGTAGCTCGGCCAGCTCTTCTTGCACCCGCTTACTTTCCCCTCTGCTTATACCAATCCAAACTCTATCTAAACTCCCTTAGGCCCATCTTCTTCAGAACACTGATTCATCCTTATAAATGTTAGCAGTGTTGGAGGACCTTGGTCAAACTGGTCACCAGCTGCTGCTTTAACACCACCATGTTTATCCAACCCGCTCAGAACAAGTCTGACTCATCTCTGTATTTGGCTTCAAGGCTTTAATGTGGCTCTGCGATATGTTTACATGCATGGAACCAAACTAAATGCTTGTAACTAAGATCAAAATGTAAGTCTAGTTACCCAATTACATTTGCAGTGTTGATGGGGGCTTAGTCATTTGGTCCCTTTGCAGTTAGCTTCTCTTATCCTCTCTTCATGTTGTGCAAAAGTTTTTGTTTGTTTGTTTGCTGTTATCTCAGTCTTGTCATGTCACATGAGCCAATGAAGTGACAAATATCAAACAGAGCTTTCCTTATGCAGGACTCATTAAATAATTGCAAGTAATGATAGGGGAGACTATTTTAGTAGTTCATCTTCAGAGGACATATGTCCACAGGATAAAAGACATTGGATGCCACAGATCCTACTCAGATTTTCTCAGCAGCAGGTACTGCACATAGGGAATTTGATTCAAAGCACCTGAAGTCAGTAAAAAAACTCCAGTTGACTTCAATGGACTTTGGATCAGGTCCACAAAACACATCTGTGAAGGTCTGTGTCATTGCTTTTCTTCTTTAGCTGCTGGCTGACATCTAAA